TGGTAACATGCTGCCTCAAACAGTGAAGGTAGAACGTTGCCATATGGCTAGTAGCCTCTCCATTTAGAAGTCCACGTGGATAATTAAATGGCCCCTTACTCTGATCTAGCAGTGCTCTCTTTATGTTCATATTGTTTATGATAGAGACAGCCTATGTGTTCAGATGCCATCTATCTCTGAGAAATCAGTCTCTGAGGATTGTCCTCTATGAGGGCCGCCCAGAGAGGTCTTCTAGGCCTCTTTTAGAAACAGGACTTTAGACTAAATTGAGGATAGACAATATGTTATCCTCAATATGTTGTTGGAACTCAACTTCCAACTTCACCCTGATCAAGGGCCTGCTGACTAGGGCTGGTTAGAGTCCAGCAACATCTAGAAGACACCACATTGACTACCCTCAGACTAGATGCATCGTTGCTCTGATCCAGCTGGGATCTTCTTATGCTCTTAACATGGTTCTGACACATAAGATTATCTTATCCTAGGCAGCTCACTATAGGCAATTCAGCTCCAAATCATGAGGATCTTCATTTGTGACTACCTAAAGCTTAAGGGACGCGTGTGGCGCTGCGGGTTAAACCACTGAGCCTAGGACTTGCAGATCAGAAGGTCGCCGGTTCGAATCCCCGTGACGGGGTGAGCTCCTGTTGCTCAGTCCCTGCTCCTGCCAACCTAGAAGTTTGAAAGTACATCAAAGTGCAAGTAGATAAATAGGTACCGCTCCAGCGGGAAGGTAAACGGCATTTCCGTGCGCTGCTCTGGTTTCACCAGAAGTGGCTTAGTCATGCTGGCCACATGATCCAGAAGCTGTACGCCGGCTCCCTCGGCCAATAAAGCGAGATGAGCGCCGCAACCCCAGAGTCGGTCACGACTGGACCTAATGGTCGGGGGTCCCTTTAACTTTACCCTTTAAAGCTTAAGGTTGTTATCCAGCGATGTTCCTGCTCAGAGTAGACCCATTGAAATGAATGAATCATGCCCATTCATATCAACAGGTCTACAATGAGCAGGACTCACATTTGGACCACAACCCATGGAGTCAACAAGATCAACTAGGAAAGAGAAATCAGATGATATCGCAGACGGAGACTGAAGAGATATTCAATTTGGTTCTTAATGGTGTACACCGCCCTGGGATCTTTTGATAAAGAGCGGCATATAATTTGAATTAATAATAATAATATTTTGAAAGGCACACTTAGCAATTTCAAATTTTCTGAAGCAATATGTGAACCAAGACGGAGCCCTCCTTTGAAATTTGCAACGTATCTGAATTTTGTAATGTAGTTCCCCGGGCAAACAATGTATGCAACAGAGGAGAGAGGGGGGGGAGAGAGAGAGAGAGAGAGAGAGAGAGAGAGAGAGATGAAAATAACATGCAATGTGCAAAACATGTGAATATAAGGCAAAAATGCAGGCAAAATGTGTGTATCAGGAGTTCACACCCAAATCCTGGTGAATTTTCATGAGTACTTTTTAAGGAAATTCACTGGTGTGTCTTTGTGAAGAAATGACTAAGATTGGAAGCTTTCCAGAAACAACCAAATACATTTTTGTTCTGACAGGCTTCCCCTGTGACTATCCACTTTCAAGGGTTTTGATCTTGTTTTAAATGCACTTGTTGTTTTTAATTATCTTGTGTGTAAATCACATTGAGACATCAGTTTAGAAGGTAACTAATAAATCAATGGCGATGTTTTATATATATATAAAAAGAGGAAAACTGAAAGAAGCTGAAATTGATGGCTTAATTCATCCATAATCATAAGTTCCTGGTCACACCTCAATATTTTCCCGGATAACCTTCACCAGAAAATAACAGGTTGGGGTGATTCAAATTTATATTCTGCGGGAGTCAAAGAGTGTAGAGAAGGGGCATCTCATCCTGTTGCTGCCACAGTTCATAATTAGCCTAATATAATCCATTAAGAGAGGTGTAGGCGGAGCAGACTTGAGACATCCTTGCAGTCCTGGTTCCTACGCCAGCTGTATAAAAAAGAGCTCCCAGCTCACCACGCTTCTTCACAAGCCCCTCTCATCGTTGGCATCGTTCCTTGCCGGCGCTTGGAAAGTTGGGTAAGTCCCCTGTTGAATTGTTGCGTACTGTTGAATTGGAAGCGTACCAAACAGGGAGGGAATTTTTAAGAGAGAGAGAGATGGGGTGGGGAGAGGAAGAGAGAAGGAGAGAGAGGGAGAGAATGGCTTGAAATCTGTTCCCAAAGGTTGTCTGAGATGCTGCGAGCATCTCCCCAACTTGAGCCTATTGCAACATTTTGCAGAGCAGAAGACAGGGCAAAACGAAGCATTGCATTTCTCTGATAGCGTTTGGGGGTCATTCCCCCATGCGGGCTGTGCGTTCCTTTCATAGAACCCTAGAATTGTGGCTCTGTGGTCTAAACCACAGAGCCTATGGCTTGCTGATCAGAAGGTCGGTGGTTTGAATCCCCGCGACGGGGTGAGCTTCCGTTGCTCGGTCCCTGCTCCTGGGGTTGCGGTGCTCATCTCACTTTATTGGCCAAGGGAGCCGACGTACAGCTTCCGGGTCATGTGGCCAGAATGACTGAGCCGCTTCTGGCAAACCAGAGCAGCGCACAGAAATGCTGTTTACCCTCCCACCAAAGCGGTACCTATTTATCTACTTGCATTTAGTGCTTTCGAACTGCTAGGTTGGCAGGAGCAGGGACCGAGCAACGGGAGCTCACCCCGTTGCGGGATTTGAACCGCCAACCTTCTGATCAGCAAGTCCTAGGCTCTGTGGTTTAACCCACAGCGCCACCCACATCCATGCTGATAAAACTCTGCCAAAGCAAAAGGCGAGTGGGAGGCAACATGACAGAAGTACACGCAACTATGCATGGCATGGATAAAGTGGTTAGAGAAGAGCTTTTCCCCCTAGAACGCCCTCCCATCAGATGTCAAAGAAATAAACAACTATACGGCATTTAGAATACATCTGAAGGCAGCCATGTTTAGGGAAGTTTTTAATGATTGATGTTTTAATGTATTTTTACTCTTTCGTTGGAAGCCGCCCAGAGTGGCTGGGGAAGCCCAGCCAGATGGGTGGGGTAGAAATAAATTATTATTATTATTATTATGCAGATGCGGGTGGTGCTGTGGTCTAAACCACAGCTCCTAGGGCTTGCCGATCGGAAGGTCGGTGGTTCGAATCCCCACGATGGGGTGAGCTCCCATTGCTCGGTCCCTGCTCCTGCCAACCTAGCAGTTTGAAAGCACGTCAAAGTGCAAGTAGATAAATAGGTACCACTCCGGCGGGAAGGTAAACGGCGTTTCCGTGAGCTGCTCTGGTTCACCCGAAGCGGCTTAGTCATGCTGGCCACATGACCCGGAAGCTGTACTCCGGCTCCCTCGGCCAGTAAAGCGAGATGAGCGCCGCAACCCCAGAGTCATCCGCGACTGGACCTAACGGTCAGGGGTTCCTTTACCTTTACCTTACTACTACTACTACTACTACTACTACTACTACTGGAACTTCTGGACATCCATTAAATCTGAATGTGGGAAGATTCGGGACAGGCAAAGGAAAGGACTGCTTCACAGAGCGCATAGTTGCTCCCACAAGAGGCAGTGACGGCCATCAACCCCTATGGCCTTAAGAGAGGATGGGACAAATTCATGGAGGATAAGGGCAACCAGCAGCTACTGGCCACAATGGCTGTGCTCTGTTTCCAGAGATAGAGGCTGCAATCTGAACACCACTTGCAGGAAACCGCAGGAGACGGGAGATGTTCTTGTGCTCAAGTCCTGCTTGCAGGTTACCCAGGTTCTGGTTGGCCGCTGTGAGAACAGGATGCTGGGCAAGATGGGCCATTGGCCTGATCCAGCAGGCATACATTGAAGCACAATGATACCCTAAATGGCCTCGGTCCAGTATGCCTGAAGGAGCGTCTCCATCCACATCGTTCTGCTCGGACACCAAGGTCCTGCTCCAAGGATCTTCTGGCGGTTCCCTCGCTGTGAGAAGTGAGGCTACAGGGAACCAGGCAGAGGGCCTTCTCAGTGGTGGCACCCGCCCTGTGGAACGTCCTCCCAGCAGATGTCAAAGAGAAAAACAACTACCAGACTTTTAGAAGACATCTGAAGGCAGCCCTGTTTAGGGAAGCTTTTAATGTTTAATAGGTTATTGTATTTTAGTGTTTTGTTGGAAGCCGCCCAGAGTGGCTGGGGCAACCCAGCCAGATGGGCAGGGTATAAATAATAAATTATTATTATTATTATTATTATTATTATTATTATTCACTCATGGTTTCCCCCCATTTCCCTCCCAGAGCTGCAATTTCTAGTGTGGTTTCACAACCGATCCCTCTTCACCAGGAGCTCTGGGAACTGTAGCTCTGGGAACTGGGAGAGGAATAGCAACTCCCAGCCCTCTTAACAAACTACAGCTCCCAGGATTATCTGAGGGAAGGCATGTCTGTTTACAATGCTATCACAGTGCTTTCAATGTATAGTGTGACTTAATAAAGTAACATAAGAACTAGGTATGTCCTCTTCCCCTAGCCTGTCCTGGGGTTCCTAACTTACAAATACTTTGTTTTCCCCAAAATAAAAAATAAAAATCCTTCCAGTAGCATCTTAGAGACCAACTAAGTTTGTTCTTGGTATGAGCTTTCGTGTGCATGCACACTTCTCCAGATGTTTTCCCCACGCTTCCTTCTCCTGCTTCCTCGGGAAAAGTAGGGATTGTATAAAAGGCCACCCCATCTCATTCCAAATAGCAGGAGGACACTTTCTTCTTCTTCTTCTTCTTCTGACTCCCCAAAAGAATATGCAATTCATAAGTTAGCAAGTAGCTCGTAAGTTTCGGAGAGCTCTTATGTCTCACCCAGACTCCAGCCCGACATCAAAGCTGTGGTTTCGCCTTGCAAATTGTCCTCTGTCTGCCGCGCTACGGGGATAATGATTATAATTACCAAGTATCATAACCGGAAGGTTTCTTTTTCTCTCTTTGCTTTTCCAGCAAACCTCAAACACCCACCAGCATGGCGTACCAGTGCAGACAGCCCTGCCTGCCTCCGCCCATTGGTGTGCCGCAGTGCGCAACTGACAGTGCAGGCGCATGCGCCCCGACCTGTGGAGATCCATGTGCAGATCCGTGTTCGGCTGCGTCGTACCAGTCCAAGCAGCCCTGCCTCCCGCCACCTGTCTGCACGCCGCTGTGCCAGGCCGAAAGCGCACCAGCGCCAGCGTCAACTTGCAGTGCCTGTGAAGAGCTTTGCGCCGCTCCCAGTGTGGAGGTGTCTTCTGCTCCATGCGAGCTGCCCACCATCCCAGCCAATGCAGATCCGTGCGCTCCCCCTTGTGCGACCCTGTGCAGCAGCTGGGAATGTTCAGGGGCCTCCGCAGCCCCATGCGGAGAAGCCGTGGAGTCTTACGTGGTGCCGGGCTCCATTGTGTCCTTGAATCCGTCTGGCCATGTATCGGTGAAGCCAGGCCCTGAGGTCGAAGCTGGGAGCTGCGAGTCTGTTTTTCTGAATACCTACATCCCTCACTTTTCCTAAAAATCAGCAAGGGGTTTTTGCGGCACTCGGGCGGCAAAGGAATTGATGGTGGCAGAAGTTTTCGTGACCTAAGGAAACCACTTGGTCAGATGCATGACGTATTAACCTCAACTGACAGATGGTTCTTCAAGGAGTGGGTGGGTGGGGGGTCTGGAAGGAAAGGAGGGGAGTTGTAAGAAATGGGTGGGTGGATACGTATCAAGAAGGAGGATGGGTGGATAGATAGATGGATGGATGGATGGATGGCTGAGTGGGTGGGTGGGTGGAGGGATGCATTGCTGGTAGGTGGATGGGGGAGATAGATGAGGAAGGAGAATGGGTGGCTGGATGAAGATGAATCAAGGAGATGGATGGATGGATGGATGGATGGATGGATCAGGAAGAACAGTGGGTGAGTGGATTGAGATGCATCAGAAAAGGAGGGGGGAGGCAAAAGTAAGGAATAATTTGTTGTTGTTTAGTTGGGTCCGACTCCTTGTGACCCCATGGACCAGATCACGCCAGATACGCCTGTCTTCCACTGCCTCCCACAGTCTGGTCAAACTCATGCTGGTAGCTTCAAGAACACTGTCCCACCATCTCGTCCTCTGTCGTCCCCTTCTCCTTGTGCCCTCCATCTTTCCCAGCATCAGGGTCTTTTCCAGGGAGTCTTCTCTTCTCATGAGGTGACCAAAGTCTTGGAGCCTCAGCTTCAGGATCTGTCCTTCCAGTCAGCACTCAGGGCTGATTTCCTTCAGAATGGAGAGGTTTGATCTTCTTGCAGTCCATGGGACTCTCAAGAGTCTCCTCCAGCACCAGAATTCAAAAGCATCAACTCTTCGGCGATCAGCCTTCTTTATGGTCCAGCTCTCACTTCCATACATCACTACTGGGAAAACCATAGCTTTAACTATACAGACCTTTGTCGGGAAGGTGATGTCGCTGGAATAATAGGTGGATGGATCAAGAAGGAAGGACCAGATGTCAGCACACTTCAGGCTTGTGGGATCTTTGTTGTTTTCTTGAAGCTCAAGACCCACCAACCAAAACGAGATGCAAAATGGTGGGTTGGGATTGTGGTGGAACAAATTCCCTACTACACCCTGGCTGTGAATTCTTTCCCTTCAACCCAAACTGAACTTTGAAACGATTCCCCTAAGTCCTTCCCTTTGCGGGGCCAGCAGCCTTTCTGCTAGAAAGGCAGAGATTTAGAGATTGGATTTCAGACTAATCAGGCTGCTTGGGGTTATGCATTCAGCAGCTCTATGCTTTATGGGCTCTGTGGAACTAAACAAATATTGGGTTTTGCCTCACTTCCTCCTTTTGGTGGACAAATGTATAAAGAGCTATTTTCAGACTATTTACTGGTGCGCAAAACTTCAGCCCCACCATCCATCCCTCAGCCTAGATGGAGTGCAAAATTCGGTTCTGAGGAATTCCTTCCTGTGAATGTGAACTTCAAGACCCAAAGTTGGGTGAAGAAGATGGCTCCTATACCACCCAAAACTCCAGGCACAGAAGCCAACTGAAGTGGTATCCAAATCTTACCCCAACAGTAGAGACAGATACCCAACTTCTGCTACAACTGAAGGGAACAGGTTAGCGGAGTGGTTGTCCTGCCACACACACAGCTCACCACTGCTGTCCACCCTCCAGAATCTGCCACCTGACGCACCTGCTTCACTCAACTTCACAGTGGAGCCAACCCTGGAAGGGGTTGTCTCCTTCTGTTCCCAACGGTGTTCATTTAGCTCCATGGGTTCTGCTGCTTCTGAGAGGGGATTTTTAGTGGTGGTTTTGACATTCTGCTTTGATGTCGTCAGCTGATCATCTCATCGGTGTCTGGAGATCTGTGTCTCGACCTGCGGAATGAGGAATTGCACCTTTGATGTTGTCTCAACTTGCTATCGCTGCTTTAGCACAACAATAACTTTGGGGAGCTTTTGCGGAACTTCTCATCTGTGCCTACGGGTCTGCAATAAAAAGCTACTTTCTGTCACTAAACTTTCTGGAGGGTGTTTCTTTCGTGTGTTTTTTAGTTTTTAAAGCTTGCTTTATGGAGTATTCTTCCAAGGGCTGGATTGGGAATGTTTAGCCTACAGAAACGGGTAAAATAGATTCATAGGTTTGGATCCAACTCACCTAGGCTGTGTGCGCAGCATGCCATTAAAGCACATTGCTCCCCCCACCAAAGAATTCTGGAAACTGCAGTTTCCCCTTCACTAGGGATGGAAGAGAAATTTGCATTTGAAGTTAAATGCATCACATTCACACTTTCTGATACCGTGTGAGAACCAAAGCACAGCTATCCTTTGAAATTTGCATTTATCTGAAATTTGCGGTGCAGTTCTCCAAGCAACAAAGTTTACAAAAATGTGTGTATCAGAGCATGGTTTCCTAAACTTGGGTCTCCAGGACCAGTGGTCAAGGGTTGATGGGAATTGTAGCCCCAAAACAGCTAGAGATCCAAGTTTGGGAAGCCCTGCAAGTGTGCACCAAAATGAAGTTATTAATGAAAATATTTAAAAGTTCATCATATTAGGGGAAATTGCTTGCCCAAAATGTGTACTTCATATAAAAATGTGTTTATTAGGAGAATTTCACCCTAAAACGATGAATCTCTATGAGGATTTTTAAAGTACATAAATTGCTGCAAAATATGTACTTACTTCCCACCACATTTTGCATGACATGTGAACCGCAGCTGAAAATAGACCCGCTGGATTCAAAATGGTAGCATGAGCATTGCCTGAACGCACTGGCTGACATGTGCAGTTGAAACATGACATGTTGCTTATTATTTACAAAATAATATATGTAAATGGATGAACTTATTGTTTCCCTCAAATTCGTGAGCCTCTATGATTTTGATAAATATGTTCCAAATACCACTGAATCTGTCCATACATAATCTTCTTTGGGAAGCAATCCGTTCATGGGTTGCAATAGCTGTCATGTCATTTATCCATTGATGAAAAGAGGCCATATTTTTACCCTTCCAATGTATCAATATCAATCTTTTTGCAGATATAAGGAAAGAGAGAATCCATTTATGCTGACCAGTTGTCAAGCCCCATATATTAGGTATATAATTTAAGATTTACGTTATCTTCTGAAATTTTTAACCCTTTCCCCATAATAAGAGTTATATAGCCAATATTTCCCCCCCAAAAAAATTTGCCAGCACTGAACACTGTATAAACATATGTTTCAAAGAAGCATTTTCCTTATTGCTTCCCCAACAAATTGTTGTCATCAACAAATCTGCTTTTTCCTGTCTGTCTGTTGTGGGTAAAAAGGGAAAAAAGAAATTAAAAATTAAAAACTGAGGGGGGAGCAGAATAGAATGGTGCACCCACAAATAGGACGTGGATGTCTGGAATCTGAAAAACCACTTTCCACAGTGCAACCTTTTCTTACAGGTCATAGTTCAGAAAAGCTTTAGTCACGGATCAGAAAAATCTATAAAAAGTTGAGAGGTCTAGGAATCATTCGTACTCGCCAGAGCTTGCTGTTCTTCACCTTTTCTGCAACCAAAGGTTGTAGGGATCTAAGGCTTAGTATGTTGTTGTTTTTAACATCTTTGTTTGCAGGCATCTGAGAGGCATCCTCTAATCAGGCAACTTATTCCCTCAACATTCCCACTGAGAGGAATTAGCTGAATCTAATCCACTAATGAGAGGGTGCAGGCAAGCAGGTCAGGGCACTTAAGGAAAAATGCCTTTCATCATGAAAGAAAGAAAGAAAGAAAGAAAGAAAGAAAGAAAGAAAGAAAGAAAGAAAGAAAGATCTTCCTCGCTCTAATTTTCCCAAGAAGCCATAAAGCCATTGCACACTCATTCTTTCAAATTCACCCGGGAGGGGGCGCATTGACTCACTGAAATCCATCCCCCCAAAAGGGTGTGGTTTTCCAAAAGATTTCACAGAGGGTTGGGGGGTCAGGGAAGGTCTTCTGTTGTTAGCGCTGGCCTGTTGAGTTGCCATGGGCTGGCTGGACACAGAGGAATGGTGCGAGGAACCAACTGGGGAACCCCCAAAGGATAAAGGCTCAAAGGCCAGGGATTGGTGGTGGGATGATGAGCGGTCAGAGGGAGAAGACTGGGAGAAGGAGGAGGAGAAGAAGAAGAGGAGGAGGAGGAGGAGTTTGGATTTGATATCCCTCTTTATCACTACCCTAAGGAGTCTCAAAGCGGCTAACATTCTCCTTTCCCTTCCTCCCCCACAACAAACACTCTGTGAGGTGAGTGAGGCTGAGAGACTTCAGAGAAGTGTGACTGGCCCAAGGTCACCCAGCAGCTGCATGTGGAGGAGCGGGGAAGTGAACCCGGTTCACCAGAGTACGAGTCCACCGCTATTAACCACTAAAACCACGCTGCTGGGGGGTGCTCTTGGGTTACACCCCTTTTGTGATGTATGTATGATGTATGGAGGGGTGGTCTGGAGCTCCAGGGCAGGGAATTTAAAATGTTTATATAAGGCCTTGCGAGCCATTGTTTGGGGTCCTCCTCCTTTCCTGCATGTGAGGGGAGCACCCTGTTGCAACAGATCAATAAAGATCAGGCTTACGAGCTGCTTTGCTTCTCAATATTCTCTGGTTGGCCTCTGTTCTTTTCTCCTACCAATAGGGAACCCACATAAGGCTTCTATACGGGCTCTTGGATACCCCATAAGGGGAAAAGGGCAGATTTTTATTGTTTACAACACCTCCCATGGTTTCCACAGCAACTGGTATTCAGAACCATTACTGCCTCCAATGGCAGACATACAACAAAGTCATTGTGGCTGGTAGCCATTGATAGGCTTATTATCCTCCATCATTTTGTCCAATCGTCTTTTAAAGCCTTCCAATCTGTTGGCCATCGCTGCCTCTTTTCAGAGCAAGTTGCGTCATTTAGCTACACAATGTGTGCAGCTGTTCTTCCTTTTGTCCGTGCCGAATCTCCCAGCATTAAACTTCTTTGGATGACCCTGAATTCCAGTATGAGAGACGTCCCTAAAGCACTTTTGAGGTTTTTATGACA